AGGGAAGAGGAAGAAGGAAGGGGAGGAGAGGAGAGGAGAGGAGAGGAGAGGAGAGGAGAGGAGAGGAGAGGAGAGGAGAGGAGAGGAGAGGAGAGGAGAGGAGAGGAGAGGAGAGGAGAGGAGAGAAAAGGAAAGGAAACAAGAGGAAAGAGGTGGACTTCCTTAGGAAATGTAACTATGCAATTTCAGCCATTAAGAGTTCAAAGGTCAACCTTTACATCTTGTTAACCTGACAGTATTGAAAGCAAGGTCATCTTTATATAACAGAAGTAGTGTTTAATTACTCTCAAGGACAGATCATTTTGACTCTCCGGTGTATATTGTGTTGCCTAATGGTTAAACCACACATTTTATTTTATTTTCTACTTATCTATTGCTTAAAAGCAACGTGCCAATGTGAGAATTATATTTTTATTACTAAAACACTTGGAAGTAACTGTCAAACAATATGCTGTCTTTTTGTCTTCTAATTAACTTTTTTTTTTCTGGAGCACTGCTCTCCAGTTGCCAGAAAAAAAACAATCCACCAGGATTACTCCAGAAAGTTTCGCGCAATGTTTCTTTTTTTTAAAACCGATTTCAGTGTGTTGCATCTATCCCATAGAATATGCAATCAGACTGTCAGACATGAAATTAGATCACAATCCTAAAGAGCTGCGAGTTAGCACTAGAAAGAGTATATATAGCACTTGTGAGAGTGCAGTAAGGTGGAAAAAAAAACCCTGCACAAGACAAAATGAGAAGAGAGTGAAGACAAGTAAAACAAAGACAGAGAAGGCAGTGCTTCTTAGTTTTAGCCATGTTTTTCCCTCCTACCCCGTAGATACAGATAACATGAATAATTTTGTGACTTTGTTGGGAAAACTTTTTAAAGTGTGGCAAGGCAGACTGGAGGTGATAAATTATTCAAATGTTTCATCGGAGCCATGCCGCTTGCGTAGGGCAAGTCTCTATAATATGCATGTAAGAAGACGTGATGAAACAACTCCATAAACAGTAGAGAATGAGAGAACGTTTGGGGATTGTGAGGGAGGAGAAAAGGGTGATGCAGAGACAAGTGACTTTGACTTTACATAGGCATTCAGTAGGACTCTATAATATATAGATCTAAAGGACTCTCAATGAAATAGCGCTGTGTGATGTGGGAACCGGTTGGGAGCAGAAAAGGAGGACAGATTAGGCGCTAGATAAGGAAGACAGAGTGAAAAACAGAGGAAAAAAACACTGAGTGAAAGAGAAAGACATGTGAGCAGGATGGAGGAAATGTTAAGAGTCCTGTCATTGTGAGGGCATGTGTTTGTGTAAGAGGCAGGGAGAGGAAGAATGTCGATTTAACAGAGAGAAGTCCAAACATTAACAATAAATGCAGAGGGCACAGTTTACTTTCTCGTTAGGTACCAAGGGAGAAATAAAATATGCATTTCAAAAAGAAAAATTTCTGCATATATACATGGTATGTATATATGATAGAGAAAATATTAATTTAGGTACTCAAAAATGTTTAGGTCTGATATCCATTGTGTCATTGTTCACGTGTTCGTTGTGGACATTACTGGTGATGGAAGCTGTGTTGAACGGCAATCTTTCCAAATGCAAATAAATAAATAAATAAAATCAAACATGGTTATATATGGGGATTATATTTCGCATAATATAAATCTTTCTCTTGTACCGCCCTGTGATCCTTCCCAGTGAATCAAATCAAACACACTCAAACTGCTGCATAGCTAACAAAAGCTAGCATCTAACTAGCATACGTGGCTGATGTTGACTTCAACACAACCTCCTCACTAGCTTTCTGTGGCTTTTGACCAAATATATTTGTCAGAGTTCATGCTTCTTTTGTCTTTAGGGTGTAGTGAAACGGCGAGGCTGAAAGAAAAATAGGCTAAAGACGTGTCTTTGCTGTTGCTTTGTCCAAACAGGTGAATATAACAGCAATCAATCACTGGAGGAGAACATCAACAACCGCTCCATCGTCTGAAAACACAGCTGTCTTTTTCTTATTCGTGACTGACGTCATTTATACGTCATCAGTGTTTCTGCAATTGTTCTCCCTGCCAGTGGAGGGAGCAAAGAAAAATCCACACTGCATGTTTAGCTGCTAGGTTGTTTTACTAGTGTACAATGACCTCTGACTGCGCAGTAGCCTAATTCAGCATGCTAAAATAATATGATTATAATATATATATATATTTTTTAACCACGGCCTAATACAAGTCTGTTTATCTTTTCCATTTTTGCTTTAAATAAGAGTACTTTTACACGAGTTCAGTCTTTCAGCATACCGTCCCTGCCCTGTTGTTCACATTGAAATGTGTGTTCCAAAAGCAAACAGTGCAAGCACTTCAGACTGAATTCTTTTAAACCATTTGCCTTTTGTCATCCGGACACAACAAAGTAATTGGTTCTCTCTGCGTTGTACCCCAATTACACTCAGCTCTCAGTGGCCTACCTCATCCTTCTCTCCGAGCATGGCCCATTTCCTGCCTCATTTTATATCTTAAGAAGTCCATATGAGCCGAAACAAAAACAAGGCGCGCATTAAGCCACATCAGTAATGAGTGGAAACCCTCAGAATGGCTCTTTTTCTTTGGTCTGTTTCCTGGACTGACTAAGAGACATGTGATCATACTCACAGCAGTATATGCTGAATGCATTTAGTTAGTGAATAAAATGGTCGAATACCTTCTCTAGTTTTGGAAGGCAGGAAGGGCAAAACACTGTGCCAAAATGCAACAAAATAAAAATTTAATGAGCTATTGCCTCACTTTAAGAAGAATGAGAGACTCGTGCAGTTAAGCCAGTTAAATTATTTCTTGTCTTCACTGAGTGACGGAGTGAAGCGAGGAGGAAAGTAAAAGTGCGGAGCAGCATTGATTGTATGTATTTATCCCCCGCTGGTCAGCAGTCTGGCTTGTTGCTGTGCACTGGAGGTCATTCTTCACATTGAATCTCCATTGATCTCCTCTTTAGAGCCTCCTGAGACACCCCGAGCTCTATTATGAGAGTGTTCACACTCACCAATAAACACGAATGCACGCTCATGAATAGAGAAATAAACCCGTACTGTAAGTACATTAGCACATGGGTATGGATATTATTATGCATGTCTAAACATACACATAAGCATATTTTTACACCATGGCCCCCTTCCACATACAGCACACTGATCGGTAGAAACCAAGTTTAATGCTGCCTCTCTCTATAATTTCTTGTACTGTGCCTCCTAACTGCTTGTAAGAGCATGCGTTAATTCAGACATCATTTAATAAGACATGCAGCCAGACTGCCTTGACCACTCCATAGAAAGGTGCTGAAAGGCAATTACGCTGGGCAAATAGCCCTTCAGGCTCCAGGGGCCTAAGCCCTTCCATCCAGAGGGAAGGAAGAGGGGAGGGTGTACTCTAACCTCACACCAGAGTTATATGAGTCACCCTCGGTTAGATAGACAGAATTCCTAGTGCTTTTAAACAGATACAGCAATTCTATTTAAGGTGACTCATTGTTAACCCTAATGAGTCACCTTATCAGCTGGATTTATGACCCTGTATCGAAATACTTTGACCTTTATTTGACCTGATCCATGTATGACCCCACCCCCTACGCTTAATCATGTAAAGAATTTTGATTGCATCTGTTATTTCTGACAGGAAAAAAAACACAAAAATGAACCAGGTTTGCGGTGCCCAAAGAATTTAAAAGCTGCACTGGCTGGAAAAAGTGTCCTTTTGTGTACTCCGGTGTCAGGCTGTAATCATCTGCTGCTGTAATACAAACAACCTGTCTCTCAAGACATATATCTATTAAAATTTAAACTGCTTTTGTCTTTTAAAAGTAATAGTTAGCTTTGCTTTGTTTTTGTTTTTTTGTTTGTTTTTTTTCTCCATACAGGTGACCCAGGAGTTCTTTTTTTTTTTCTCTCTTCCCCCCCCTTCTCACCGTCTCTTCTCCCTTTGGTTTTCTTTCTTTCTCTCCCCTCTTTCTCTCATTCATTCCCCTGTCCTATTTATTAAAAAAAAAAAAAAAAAAAAAAAAAAAAAGACAAAGGATGAACTGAAGCTCTGCATCACGTAATGTCGATACTGCGTTTTGATGTCATTAAAAAAAAAAAAAAAAAAAAAAGCTTTGCGCTTTAGCACTGACACAGGGAAATTGCAGATTTTAGTCAGTTTGCATGGTGAGAACATTTGGGAGCAGATACATATGAATGGATAAAAAGCAAACAAAAAAGTGCATGTAACGGCTTAAAGTGTGTTCAGATTGTCATCTTATATGGATGTGAAAGCACCATCAGTTCCCCCGTCTTCCACATACTCCTGGCTCCACTCAAGAGGAATGCATTATGATTTGTTAAGCAGCTGGGGAAACTAAAGAGAAAGCTGGCAAGTGGTACATTAAGAGCCACAAGGCATTTACGGCATTACATCATTGGAGATAGTATTCTTCTAAAGGTAGAGATCAAGGTAGCCTTTATGATATCTTTTTCATTTACGCGTAGAGGAATCTACTGCCATCTGACATCCACAACTTCAGTGGCAGTGGTATATGTAGGACCAGCTGTAAACGTTTTTCTTTTTTGACTTCTGAAAACATGCAGATATCACAAGTGGGGTGGTGGAGGAACAGTCGTAATTGAGAATCATGACAGCACAGATGGTGCTTTCCTTTTTCTTCCTCTTCAAGTTATTTTGAACAATTAATTATTGGAGGCAGATTACTGCCTATAAGTATTCCTTATGTCACAAGAAAACTGTTTTATTTTCTTTAATGTTAGCATTAAAAAAGCCAAGGTAGTTCACTCGAAGATTTAAAAGAAATCACATCACGGGCTAGTCATCACTTGCAGTACCAAAGACATTTTCTAACCGCCATAATTTTCTTCTGGCTCACACATATAGTAACGTGAAATTGGAAATCATTAAGGGAAGATGAAAAAACGAGGTGGAGTGATGAGAAAGAGGTAGAGAAGGGAATCTTAGACTTTGGCTTGGACCTACCATTGTTGCCGAAGTCGAGCGAGTACTTGACCACGTGGTAGTTATTCCACACATACAGCAGGTTGTCTCTAGGGTTGTAATCCACTGCAGCTATGTACTGGTAGGAATTAGGGAAGGGTATGTTAACCGTCATTTCTTTCCCCTTATCAGTGTTGTACATGTAGTCAATCTTGTTCCCCGTGCCTTCGTTGTCATCATCTTCATAGACGGTTTTGACAACATAAAGGACTCCGCAGATCATGAACGCATTGGAGGCAGAGCGCTTGTCGTAGCTCGTGTCCCAGGAGCCTTCGATGCGCAGGGTGTAGGGATTGAGCTGGCTCACCACGATGCGCCCATTGTTCTGCTCCGTTGCGTAGATCACCCACAGACCGTTCTCATCCACCGCCAGGTCAATGTCCGACTTGCCCCCCCAGCGGTAGGGCGACGTGTCGTGGTAGTTGGCGTTGGCAATAATCGCCTCACCGCTCTTGATGCGCGTGCGCAAGTCAAACTTTACGATGTTGCGGGTCCGCTCCTTGTTGAAGAACAGCGCACCGTCATAGACGACAAAGCCAGTGCCGTCCACGCGATGCGCAGTTTGTATGTGGTGGTGGGACGGCCTGCGATGAAGTCCTCCTTCGATGAATACTCAGTCAGCGTGTCCGTGCGGTATGGTGTCCAGGGCATGTAGTAGATCTTGTCAGAGGCCTGCAGCGGGTCTTTGCACCAAGCACCAGACTGATGGTCTGATTCAAAGAGATGTTCGCTTTGGTAAACTCCCCGAAGAATGCCGGGGCACAGAAACACTGAGGAACAAAAGAAAACATTTTCACATTAGATAAGTTTAAATTACACGGCTGATGTAAAATGTCAACTGTTCTCAGTAGAGTTCCTGACAGAGCTTTTGAAATGTTTGCCTCCATTCATACGTGTTTCTAAAAAAACATAACAGAGTATTTTAACTTAACCACCGGTGAGTGATGATGACATGATAGGCTTACTGTGTTGTGATTTGGATGTTGTATAGTCACTGTCATTGTTAAGCACAGCAACAGTATGCCTTCTATTCAACAGATAATACGATACTCTCACAGCGAAAAGATGAAGAGAAAATGGCACATTTTGTTCTACTTCCACCCTTTCCCTCTATTCCCATTTCTCCCTCCCTCCTCAGCTCCTCATTAGTCTCACAGCTTTCTTCCTTTCTCTCCCTTTCTATTTCTGTCAGGAACAACCAACTGTAGAACCAAACACATCTTTTATTGTCTGCTGTTTTTGCAGTTGTTACAATAATTCTTTTCCCACTCCACGCTCACTATTCTCCTCTTGGAATACTGGGGTCATGTTTTATGAGGGATGTGGGAGAAGTAGTAAATTCTGGGAAGCCAGTGCGACAAGAGTCATTGGAACCTTTGTAATTCAACTGGAATGTTGTCACATAAGCATGCATGCATATATATATATATATATATATATATATATATATAATATATATATATATATATATATATATATATATGTATGTATGTATGTATGTATGTATGTATGTATATATATATATATATATATATATATATATATATATATATATATATATATATATATATATATATACATATGTGTGTGTGTGTGTGTGTGTGTGTGTACAGAGCAGATCCACATAGAGTTGCCAGATGTGCACTGTGGCTTTCCCATTCTCTCAAATAATATAATTCCAGATCCCACGCATGAGGCTCTGACTATTGATTGAATTTTCACTGGCTATCTGTTTTCATTTCATGAGGGAAGCATTTTAAATATTAAACGTCCACGTAACTCTCTGATCATTGGCTCGTCACAAAAACGTGCTCGGCCCATTGGAGAGTTGGTTAAGAAGCATTCTACACATACCGTGGAATAACGTGAGCGGAGTGTGTCTAATGAGAACCAGTAGTTCTAAATTGCTTCTATATGCTGAGATCAAGCTGTCTTAATATAGCAGCAGTGACAATGAAAGAGATGTCATGCTGCCACAAGGTACAAAACGCTTCAAGCGCTGGCATCAAAAAGTGACGCCCAATCCCGGATTTTGAGCATGTGCGAATGTGGGCGTGCTTGCTTCACAGACTTACCTTTTTGTTCTACTTCTGCACCAGCCATAGGCAAAAGATTTGAAGAAAAAAAGAAAGCACAAGAGCAAGAAAGAAAGAGATAGAGACAAGAGACAAAAATAGATTAATGATGCAATAATAAGGAAATCATGATAATACAATCTCAGATCTCCATAATCGGCCTCATATTTCATTCTAACCTTGTGAGAGTGCCAGGATGCTCTCCATGTGTGATTGGTAATAACATTACATAAGCGTCTGAGGAGACTGCACTGCAATGGGGAAGCTATTTGACAGTATTCAACTCACATATGTTGCACACGCGCATGTGGGCAGACAGAGATGCACATGTAAGGCAGACACAGAACGAGGGAGGGAAGACAAAATGAGAGGAAACACACAGGAGCATGGCACAACACGCTGAAGCACACATGTTCACGCTGTCCGCGGTGGTCCCCAACCCGGTGCAGGACAAAACAGAGCAATGCAAAATGACCTGAGATAATGAGCTCTTTAATGTATGCTAATAGCGGCGGCGCAATGAAAACCAGAAAATTTATTTGATTACTGGGATTGTTTTTCAGTGGACCAGCCAAAACTGCCACATTAAAATGCTTTCTGGTGCACGGTGGGTGAGCTAATGCTTGGTGTATGTCATGTCATCTTGTGTGCCTCTGAAAATGAGAGTGAAGGCATCTCTTGGGCAAGCAGGAGCATACTAAAAGAGCTGGCTTGCTTCAATCCCAACACCGGTTCCCAGTCTATTACATTCAAAGCATTATCCTTAAAAATCTGCGAGGATTGTTCATGTTGCCCGGCAATGAAATGTGCACAATTGCCTGGAACCTCTTAAACATATGAATTCTATTCCACCTTGGTCCCAGAGGGACTGAGTGGAATGTGAACACGGCAGAAACGTAATCCTGCAGGCAGTGCCGTTGTGTCTTTCAAGACTTAGAGACCTGCTGAATGGAACTAGTCCCATGAGAAAGGTGTGTGTGGGTGTATGTGTGGGTGTGGGTAGGGGAGAGGAGAGGAAGGCAGAGTCTTCAAAGGAAAAACATTTGGAAGAACTTCCAGGACCTCACATGTTTACATATATCACAGATGCACTACATACTGCATGCTGCATGTTTTAATTCTTTACTACATTAAACCCCAAACTTATCCCCAACCACAAGGCATACACAAACACATGTGGCACACAGAACACACACACACCTTCATACACAGGCAACCATTAAATCCTAAGCTCATGAAAAATGCATGGTAACTGGCGCAGCTTAGCACAACTCCCGATAAATAAGCAATCTCCGAAAGAAGATCATGTTAAACCTAAAACAAGTGTGTACATCCGCGTGTGCACGTGTGTGTGTGTGTGTGTGTCCCTGCGAGGTAAGATATAAAAAGGTTCGTCACAAGAAAACAGTTCCCTTGTGAGAAAATCTTGGAAAGAAAGCAGATAGTCTGTCTAGGCAGAGGGGTGTGCACGACGGATATTACACACACTCACTCACACCGGCATCCGTACATATAAATAACACAAAGAAAGGCATCGCGGTGGAGAAGACGAGGATTAATGACACCAAACAATGAGGCCTTCACATTACCTCAGGCTCTTACGGAGCCTCGCAGACACAGAGGAAAACACACAGAGTTCAAGGTTGCCAGCAACTAATAGATTTCAAATGAAAAAGTGTGGCAGCAACAAGTAAACCAAATGGCACACAAAATGTCAGACAAATGTCATTCAATTTGTACTGCTGCTCGTTGTTTCACCAGATTAATGGATATCTCTGTTGGTGAGCTCATTGCGGGGTTGTTCTGCGGTATCTCTCTTTTAATCTTGAGGACAAGGGTAAGAAATGAAAGTTTGTCATAACAGTCATTGATTTTTTTTTTCCTCTCCAGTGCAGACGGTCTGACAGAGCGAATATAGGGTGGTCGGATATTTATTGAAACCTCAAGGTTTTCTCAAGGGCAGCTCGAGCATGCAAGATGATGCAAGAGATGAAAAGTCTTTTGTGCTACTGCTAATTAAACTGCTGAGTGTAGCTAAAAGAGAAAGAGGAGGGAAAAATATGGACTTTGACAACTTGCCAGAAACGCGTCCTTGTTTCCAAGAAAACGTCAACAAGAAAGCATCTTCTCTCACACTGTGTTATTCATAATTGAATTCTGCAGAGGTAGCGGCGTATTTTTATCTATCCAGTATCTTTGACTGATCATTTGCAAAAACCACTAGGACTGCACTATTGAATATTTAGCTATGCAGCTACTGTGAAAAAACAACAACTAATTTATTCCTAGCATGGCTTTGAATGAATATTAGCAATAATGCAAACTGCAACGGTGTGTTGTGAGGATGTGTCGCCTGACTAGTTTGATTTAATAAAAATCATGTAATTATTCATTAATATCTTCAGTAAAATGGTCTGAAAAAATCTGTAATTATACAAACAACGTTACACCCATACCTTGCATGCCTTTCGTTTTAGTTCATTTCTCTGTTTTCTGTTTTTATTTCTCCTACACCCACCGCGCACACACACACACACACACACACACACACACACACACACACACACACACACACACACACACACACACACACACACAGAAGCTGTGTTAACCTAACTGTGCTGCTGTGTAAAGATAATTAGCATTTTTATTGAAAATGTATGGTTTATTAAGTAGGTATTCGTCTAGGAGGGAAGACAGTGTGTGCTCACAAGTGTGTGTAATGTGTGTGTATGCGTGGGGGGGCGCCGACATGCCCGTGTGCGTGTTTCTACAGACAACGAGTGGCGACAGCAGCCTTACCACTATCATCTCTGATCTCCAATAAGCTCAGCCGGCTAAAGCCCAAGGTCGTTTATGGGCGCAGACGTTTTCTACTTTCTTTCTCTTTTTCATTATTCTATTCTTTTTCTCCTGTCCTCTCATCCTCACCCGCTATTCTATTGCATTATTTCATCCTGTTCTTTCACCCCTCCCACTCGCCTCGTTCATTCTCTCCCACTACCTCCTCTGTATCTCTCCTACTTCCCCCAAACCAAACCCTGTCCACCTCTCACCCTGTGTCTTTTATCAGTTAATTCATTCTTTCTGTTCCCTGTCTGCTGGCCTCGTCTAACCTATTTCTCTCTCTATCTCTGTTTCAGCTGTCGCTCTGCCGTCTCTCCTTCTGTCTCATTGGTTCCTTTCCCATCTTCCCTTGCTCTCTCTGGGAAACAAAAAAAATGCCTGCATATGTGCCCACATAAACACACACACACACGCATATACTGTACATGCATGTACAGAGAGAGACACAAACGAACAAGCACCCCCCCCAAAAAAAAAAAAACATGCACATATACACACACACCCACACAAGGAAGCACACACAGACGCACACAAACAGGGCTTCTCATGTCACTGTGATGAAGTTATTCCAAGGGTCCAATCTGACAGAAGTCTTTAATTGGACAGACAAGAAGGTGATTTTATCTTTTAATTAGCTTTCCTATTGAGCCAAGTTCTATTGTCTAAAATAGACTGCATGGGTATTGCATAACATATCACTGGCTTTTCTGATTAATACACTAAATGTGGGAGTAGGCTAATTGCTTCATAACAGCAGCCAGGAGAGCCAGGGTATACCACATAAAGATGAGGAAACGGATAGACATAATCCTAAGTGTTCCTGGCTTTTTTAACGGACGAACATGAATGAAACAATACGTATCATGTGTCTGCTCTTCAGCAACACACATTTGCTGAGATTGAATCTGTCCACGCACCAGAGTTGCCTTGGAGAAGTACTTTGTACAGCGGTGTGTTAATGTATGGATATTTATAGTCTGCCTGCAGTGCGATGAGCAAGTATACACAGGTGGCTAATTACTGCCAAAGCTAGCTGGCTAGTTTGGCACACGACTGCCACACACTCGTACCACAGAGAGTCGGAGAGAGAAAGAGACAGCACTTGATTGTAGCTTTGGACAACAGCCAAAAACCTACAGTGCAGTGGAGAGAGATGAGGAGTTTTGAGGGGTAGCGCAAGCCAAAAAAAATCCTTGGGGAAAAAAAATTAAATAAAAGGAGGCGAGATGGAGGAGCAAAATTTCCCTGAAAACTGAACTGCACATAATTAAATTACCTGTTTTACAACCCACTTTGAGAATTGTTTACTATATCTATGCAGAGGGAAACGCACCTACTCTACTCGATTGGCAGCGCTCAGGAAAAGTATGCCTGCGCTTTAAAGTCGATCGGCTCATTTCCTTTCCGTGGCGGCTGGCCTGTGATAAGCAACACCTGGCCTTACAGGTGACTGCAAGGGTTCAGGTGGTTACACTCAACAGACAGCACCGCCACCAGCGCGCTCGGCATCAGGGGAGATCTGCTCGAGTGGATCCCTTGACGTTATAGTTATCTGAGCGCACAAAAGCCAAGCCTGCTTATAAATGATGACATATTAAAAATGCAGCTGGTATTCATTTCAGAACAAATTTCATTACACTATCATATAGTGTATCTATCATAAAAGCCCCTCCTCTGTTGAGCCATCTTGATTTACAACACTTTGCAGATATTTCATCACTTATTGTCTAACAAAATGCATCTTTCACGACAATGCCGCTGGCAGCATTGATTTGCGGTGTCAAACGCGCCAGTGTGAATGTTGACGACTGAAACTCCAGCCCAAATGTCAGGAGTGCCTTCTTCTAAGTTACAAGCAATATTATGACTTTTAAAAAAGAATTGATTTTATAAATATTTGATCCATTCCGTGTGAAGGTTATGTGAAAGGTTTCACTTTTTTTATACATCACATTTTTCCCCTGTTGGACTTTTCCCATGGCTAAGCACACACGCGAGCAAGGTAGTGTATCACACAGCTACCTGATCCAGCCTGAACTCTTCAGTCAGTACACAGCAGATGCTAATGTACTGTCAAAAGCTCTCTCTCTCTCTCCTTCGCTGTCTTTTTCTCCAGTGCATCACCTCCCTCTCTCCATCCCTCCCTCTGTTAGCTGAGCTCGCTAATGACTTTGATTTCAGATACTGTGTATTTTCGCGGGGACACTGTTACCCTGACTGACCCATTGTTTATCAGATCCAAAAACACAACTCATCTCCTTTTGCACTCGGTCGTTTTTTAAATCACTATTCTTTACGCTGACAAATCCATTAAATAAGGAGCGCTGTATTTTCAAGCAGGTGTGCGGTTATATCAAATAAAAACACGGAACATGCAGACAAGTCTTGAATGAATGAGAGAAGAGTGAAAACACACACTGCTGCAGAGTCTTTTTTGATGCCTGCGTGTATGTGCTGTGCGTGCGTGGTGGGGCATTAAGCAGGTATCAGGTTGTGTTTCCATCTGCTCCAGAGAGGGCTCTGATAGTCCTATTATTTAATCTACTGGTCATTCTAGACGCCAGGCAAGAGCCGTTTAGCCAGACATAATTGAATGCTTCAGTGTGGGAGATCACCTTGGCCGTCTGTATGGACTGCGGTGCCAAGGCCGTAGACAAATCTAAAGTGCATCTGTTATTTCTTACTTTAGGAGGGCTTTTGCATAAAGCATGTGTGGGTTATGAGGGCAAAATTAAACTTCTTTACATCTCTTTCGAAATTGACTTTTTGATACAAAGAATGCAGAAATAAGCTTTTCAGTTCCAACTCTGTATGTCCTCTTGACTGTATTGCTTAGAACTGTTCTACCACAGTCATGTTTATAGCTTTACAAGCCAGACATGGCTTGTAAAGTCAGGTAATATGAAGAAGAAAACAATTAAAATTAATCTCCAATCCAACCTGACAGCAATGTTTGAAAATATCAAGCGGCGTTTGCTGATAAAATAATATTTTGGCATCGTTACTTTGTTCACCTGAAAATTTTTACTTAACGATTAACATACCTCTTCTCATTTCATTGGAGGTGCAATGTCATTTTGATGCATTCCCTTTTCATCTTTTATGCTTCACCTTACTTCTGTCCGGTTTTGTGGGTTTCACATATGCAACTGCAGCCTGAACAAAGTACCTGTAGATGCCTGTTGTGATGGGGAAATGACTGAGGGGCTGGTATTCGCACGAGATTTAACTTTTTCATTAAACAGACACAACCAGCTGCATTCTAACTTTGCTGGAATGTACTGAAAAATAAACATTAAGGACAAAAAAAAAAATCTAATCCACTAAGTCATCACGCTGATCCCTTATGCATTTGTTCTGAAGCGAGCTGTAACCCACATTCTAGTGGAAAAGATTTTTAAAAAGCCGCACGACTGTTTCACTCTAGTGAATTTCCCCTCTCAGTCTCTTACCACCTGGTCAAAGGTCACATCACCATCTGTAATCATCTGAGACTGCCCTTGTTTCTCATCCTTGCTACCTTTGACTTTCCCACAGGGGGGGAGAGGCATAAAATTATAACTTGCACGTAAAGTTACTGTGGGATCAAGCTGCTGAAGTTTTTGCTGTGAATGCTGCTGCCTGGCATAACAAAAACTGCAATTTATTCATATACTGAAGAGTAGTGAACTATTTAAAAAAAAAAGAGAGAGCGAGAGGGTACTTACTGTAAGGAACACACTCATACTGGACTTCGAGGTATTTGTATGTGCCGGGGCAGGGATCGGGAAAGACGTCGGGGCCGGCCACCACAGCACACTGCGTACGGTTGTTGCATCTACATAGATAGATGGGATAGATGGATAGCGTCAGTTGAAAACATCCACAAATCAATTGAAAGACCTGTAACATGATACGATTCAGCGGCACCACAAACTACATTTTCCAAAATGATCGCGCAGCTGAATCAGCCTTCTCTAAAAGGTTTAAAACAAAAACGGAACACCACAGCCATCGAGGAGCCGGGATTTATTGGAGGGCTGTTGTACTGGAGTTGCATCATTTTTTTTTTTCAGCTGGAGCCCAAGCACGCTACGCCGCAAAACGCATATCCTGATATCATGTGATATAATGTAGAGCGAGATCTATTTTATCCGCCGAGTCATCCTGACACTCGAGAGTCTTCTGTGCTTAAGGACCCTTCATGTTGACACTAGAGCAGATGATACGGCCTTACCCGGTACCTGAAGTGAACATAACAGTAATGGATTCACCGAGTTCACTTGTACACAAAGGTGGCCCACAATGGATACAGAAGTGCTGTGGCACAAGGACACTTCTGCGTTGAATGTATGTGGGTGTCTGTGTGTACCTGCACGAGTGTGTGAAGCACTGACGGCAATAACCTATACCTTTAAGATTATTTTGCCCCAGACTTTAGATAATTAATTCTAATTACCAGGGGGCCCTCTCCTCTGACACACAAAAAGTAAGTATTACTCACTCTTATTAACACAGGTTATGCAAGGCAGCACACGATGTAGTATATACCCTGTGTGTCTTTTAGGGTTTCTGCTTACAGGTGTGTATAAGAGCACCTGTGAAAATACATACATGACATTTACGTGTCAGTTTCACTGAACATTTCAAAGCTGCTCGTCACAACCACAAAAGATTTGCTGGTGCATATGTTATGATGATGCATGCATGTAATAACATAAAACACACACTTTATCTTTATCTTCCAAGTTTAAACGAGCTACAAAAGCACACGACTGAAACATATTTCTTATACAAGAATAGCAACAACAGACAAATGAGAAAAAGCTATTTTTAAAATGCTTTCATATTAATTAGCACAACTTCTCTTTCCCTCTGTGCACACCTGTCATACAGAAGACATTTACATTCAAAACATTCAGATTCTCCCATTGAGATATTTTTAATGAGCCTACAGAACCCCCCAAGTCACTTTTCCTACAATACCATTCAACAATTTGCATAATGAAATATTCATAGGAGCTAATTTTATTATTAGTTCAATATTCACATGTAACACAAAGAACTAATGTAGCCTAGAAAGAACTAACTGCCTTAATTTTTTTAGCTCGGCGTCTCTCGCTGACCAGCGTGTCTCAGATCACATGAGGGTTTATTGGAATTTGTGATGGTTTCAAAGTCTTTGTGTTGTGAAGTCTGTCATAATCTAACAATACCCACCCATCTTCTCTCCTTCCTCTCTTTTTTCTCGCCTCTGTGCTTTTTAATTTCTTGCCCTGGTACCTTCATCATCGGTCACCTGTCATCAGTGCGAGCTGTGGGCTGAGGGGGGGGGCAGGGGACACAAAACTGACACAGTGCCACAACTTTGCTCACAGCACCCACCAAAGGTCACGAATGGCTGGCACTCACTGGTGAATCAGAGCACAAAACTCCCTTTAACGACCTCACATAACTTTCTAAAGTTAAAAAAAAACAACCAACAACTAGCCGCTAGTTATGATGTCTTCACACTGAAGAGACACAGTGGCTGAGAAAGCTCAATATAAGAAAAGAGATGGAGCCAGCCAGGAATTGCTGTGAATTTAAGCTTATTTGCTGAAAGCACAAATGAATAGCCAACTTTAATAGCTTCAAAAAGTCACAAAACGCATCTATCTTCTTATCACCTGGGCAACTTAGAGCTCGTGTCTGGAAATATTTGCGGCGCTAGAGATGTCAACTCGATGAATGTTTTCTTAGTTATGTTATGTTTCGAGTGTTTGCATGTGTTATCGTGGGCTGCGGCACTTTGAACTCTCCGATTCACTGAAGTGACAACCCGTCTGAAAAAAAAGGAGTAAAATATTCCCATAAATGTTTATGTTTCATGTCTAAGTCCTGTAAGATTTCCATATCTCACACGATGATTTACACATGGAAGTGACATCACCTTTGATCACCTGTAGAATTATTTTGTGCCAAAAAGTGCAAAAAAGGTGCCACTTTCATGAGTAAACCATAATATGAGACACAAATATTATAGAAAACACATAATAGTGAAAACATTAAAATCGAACAAGTTTTTTTTTCTGTTTCTTGTACATATTGTTAAAACTAACAACTGAAATCAATATATATATGTAATTTATTACACTATATAGTGTAATAAATTACATTAAATCATGTATGCCTGATCCAGGGAACACGGGCTGAAGAAAACAACAGATAAAAATGAGTTTAAGGAAAAACTGAGAGACATGTTAGGCTTTGCAGTAGCCATGGGTATAGGTAATTGTCAATATATTTCTGCTTCAGGTAAAAAAAAAATGGCTCAGGGCTCTCATGGCTGAATCATGAGCACTGAAGGTTATGGACTATTATTTTAAATAAAAGCTATCGAGCAAAGATTTGGCATAATCTTCTCTTGCGAGCTATATCTCTCTGCTATCACTCCTTCTTTCTCTGTCTATTTCTGTCTGCACTACCTTTTTTCTTCCTCCCCACACTCTCTAAGCCAAGATAATAAACCAATTTCTTTTTTCAGCCTTTGTCCTCATCCTTCCCGCCTAGGAATTATTCCTCAACTGTTCCTCCTTCTTTGTCTCTCATTCCAACTGGCTGTTTTTTCCGTCTGTTTATCTGTCTTAAACCCACTTAGCTGCAGTTTCCTAAGTCACACCCAGATATATGTGGTAGGCCGCTTATTGCTGCTGCCGTTCTCTCTTTTTCTCTCCTCTCTCCCTGCTTAATACTTTTCTCATCCCCGCCTCCCTCAGGGCGTCATCTCCAGCCTCCCCCTGTTTCTCTCTCGATCCCTCCATCCTTAGTAAAGCCTCTGCTGACGTCACCATTCTGTCTGAGCCAGTAGTCTGAGTCAGGTCCAAAAAAGACTCCCTTATGTTCTCAGTACCTCCATCTCATTCTTTATTTGTCAACATTACTCTCATTTCCTCACTGCCAACATGTTTATCCAGAAGCCTAACAAAACACGAGAACATCAGCAAAAATTTACAATTCCTGTCCTCTCTGCATTGTGACCCATGATTAATGGAGGAGATGCAGAACATGCGCACACACACACGCGCACCTTTAGAATTTATTTTTTTCCCAAACACCAAAATGGCTCTATATATTTTTTTCTCTGTGTTTTTCTTAGAGTTGGCAGAAAAGCTCCTTTTTTTAATTAGCATGACCACATCAAAACAAGGCAGTGGCCTGGATACCGCCTGGCCCGCTGGCTTTCTTCCTTGCAACGTGCAACACACACATGCACACGAACAAACTATTCACTAACAAAGCCGAGCTGTGGCAGGCAGGGAAAGAGAAAGCTGCTATGCTGCAGTGGGTGCTGCTGTTGTTCTTGTCTCTGATGTTTTTCACTTTGTTTGGCAGACCTCCCTTCACTCCATCTCTGTCTCTATCCCTCATATAACTGACTGATGATTTGATGAGGCTGACGCTGCCTGTTGGAGCGTGTGTGGGGTATGTTTATGCATATGTGCAGGCGCATGTATGTCTGTGAGCAGATGCAAAATGGAATAAATATTTGAGTGTTTGTCTGCGAGTGTGTGCGCGTTTGTGCGTGTGTGAGTGTGTGCGTGTGCTAGAATGCAGATGTGTTGAAGAGCTATATAATTACAGAACAAGAGAGAGCTGGGAACTAATCCTTGTGAGTTGAAAGAAGTGTCTGAGAGTGAGTGACGCATAAAGCTTCTCCAAAGTCCTCTGGAATCAGTGTTCGAATACAGTGAAACCACTCCAGAGCACTCTGTGAGTCATCTACAACTGTTTGTGAACATGCTTAACACACACAAACGTTCTGAATATCATTAATCTAAAAACCCCCCAAAAAAACCACTGAGCTTAAAAAAACAATTAAATGAACTTGAAGATACTTGAACTGGACTAATATAGACATACATGTATAGAAACTACTCATTTCTTTATGTTTTTCTAGGAAAATGGGAAATAGAAACTGACTTTCTACTATTCCAACAGTCTTGAAAGTTAATACTTTGTACGACCGCCTTTATTATTCAACACAGCCTGAAATTTCTTTGACAAGCGTTCTTGTAATTTCTTTAGCATTCGTTTTCCAGGTTCCTTGAAGGACCTTCCGAGCTCATATTGGGATGTTGGCTGCCTTTCGTTTCATTCTCTGTCAAGATGATTCTTCGCTGCTTCAGTAATGTTCTGGGAAAGCCAATCCGACTGTTCCACTGTGTGTTTTTCTATCCAGGTATGCTTTTACTGCATTGGAAGTGTGTTTGGGATCATTGTGATGCTGAAAAAAGAAGTTGTTGCCAATCAGTTGCTTTCCAGATTGTATTTCATATCTGCATTCATGATTCAATCAGCTTTGACAAGATCCCCAACACCAATGGCTGAAATACAACTCCAAACCACGAGAAAGACTCCATCTTCTTTTACAGATGGCTGTAGACACTACTTGATCTTCTCCATACATATTGATGATATGAACCAGAAATTTCATATTTAGATTCTGCTCTCCACAAAACCTGTTGCTACTCATTTTCGTCCATTTCTTGTTTAAGCGTCTTTTCTTTTTGACCGCGTCACTTCCACTGAGACTATTTCTGAAGACCTTTCAGTGAACAGTCATTATTTTCCCTGTGTCTTAAGGATGTTTTCTCTTTTTTTCTTTTGTTCTCCACTTGTTCAAATTCCTCATTTTTTTAAAGGCTGCACATCATGCTGAGATATGCCAGTTTTTCAGCTAAAAGCTCTTTGGGAATCACCTTGTTAGTTTAAAAATCTTATTTTATGCCCTTTTCTTAGACTCAGTTAAAGAAATGCAAATAAGTTTCTGGTCACCACTAATATTAGTGACAAAGT